GCCTGTGACCCTGGAAAGATGAGCAACCTATTGCACAAACCAGAGCCGCCGGCCCTTGGAAGGCCCCCAGCCCTTGCCTGCCCGCAGGCCTTTGCAAGTCTCCAGCCGTATTACCTGTGAACTGCCCGTTTGGCGCCCTTTGCCTACTTCCCCATGTACTCTCTGTCCTTTTACCCAGTATAAGCAGCTGGCTTATGGGGGGAGGGGGGGCAGGTCTTTGTGGGTGACCCGTTCATTGTCCGGTTACAGGAGAAGCATGGGCTCCAGGAGACTGTCCCCGAGAACTGGCTCCTCCCCAGGGGAGGAGACACGCGTGCCCTTGGCGTCCATCTGTGCTGCTTTTGTGTTTGCAAGGGCCCTCCCCCTCCCGACAGCCTCCCTTCCCCACGTCCTCCTGTCCTCGGGGACAAGGACAGAGGAGACGCCCGAGAAGGGCGCCTTTGTTCCTCAGCTGCTTCCTGACCAGGTGCTGGAGGAGGAAGAGGTCACCTCGGACCCAGAGGTGAGGTGGCATCAAACCCCAGCGACGAGTGGCACAGACCGGCAGGCGCTAGGAGACAGGCTTCTCTGTGCGCAGTTGTGTGTGGCAGTGCCCTCGCCAGCCCTGTCTGGCCACCGTCACCGTTACTAACAGCCCGATGTCATCACGGGTCCCTGCAGACCTTCCTCACTGTCCCCAACGCGCCCCCCTTCAGCGTCAAACCGGAAGCTAGGCCACAGGCTGTGACCAGTCGATGCCCAGCCTGCTCTTTGCGGACACAGCGGAGGACAGCACAGGAAACCCTGTGCCCACAGGGGGTGCACGATCCTCCTGGTCTCCCGTGAGGAGAGCCCCCCTCTCCTTCCGTCTGCCCGCAGCCTCACACAGGCCCACAGGCGGAATGGAATCGTCGACCACCCACTCAGCCTCTTCCCTTCCTCTGACCTCCTCGAGCCCTCACTGCTGGGGTGACTGTCGTCAATGCATCATCGAAACAGGAACACTTCTGTGTGAAATGGGTGCTATTAATAATTAGCAGCCTGGCCGGCGTGGCTCAGCGGTTGAGCATCAACTTATGAACCGGGAGATCAGGGTTCGATGCCCGGTCAGGGCACAGGCCCGGGTTGCAGGCTCGATCCCCAGTGTGGGGCGTGCAGGAGGCGGCCGGTCCATGATTCTCTCTCATCATGGATGTTTCTCTCTCTCCCTTTCCCTCTCCCCTCCTCTCTGAAATCTATCAAAATGTATTAAAAAGTAACAGACAGAAGCGGTGTCCACACTGGGCCCCGGGGCCCATGGTCTGTCTAGAGCCCGAGAAAACCGCGGATAAAAACATCTGCTATTTCCAGGGCAGGCTTCCAACCAAGGCGGGATGAGAGTCTCTGACCCCAAAACCGAGGCCACTGGACCAGAGCGGCAGGACACGGGCTGTTCTGACTGAATTCATTCGAGACGCGCGTGTCCAGGGCTTCGGCTCGGCCGGGCGTCTCGCGGGCCCGCGGCCGTGGTGAGGTTGTCATTTTCAGGGGAAATGCCTCGAGAAGCTGCTGTGAGGACTCGAGTTTGAACGGGGAGAGGAATGAAAAGGAACAGCCGCGACACCGTCCCCCTTCGGCACTTTCTCCCGATCACGGTGAGGGGTCCCCTCACGTGACAGCTGCATGGGCCGAGCTCTTCTCTCCGCTCGCCTTGGGGAACCGGTGATGAGCTGCCGGCCTGTCTGTCCCTCCTCCCCCAGCCCCAGCCCCCAATTCCCTTGCCTCCTTGTCTGCCGTCAGCTGTATTCTTTTCCGGTTGAACGGCCACAAACACAAGCTGTCTATCTCCTCCCGCCCGAGGCGTTCGGCTCGGCAGATGGACAGAACCTTGGGGAGGGATCTGTCCTCCGCAGGGCCGCCTGGGCCAGGGAAGCCCCGGTGGAAAGTCAGGTCTGGCCCAGCCGGGGTGGCTCAGCGGTTGAGCCAGGCGGTCAGGGTTCGATTCCCGGTCAGGGCACATGCCCGGGTTGTGGGCTCGATCCCCAGTGTGGGGTGTGCAGGAGGCAGCCGGTCCATGATTCTCTCTCATCATTGATGATTCTCTCTCCCCCTCTCCCTTCCTCTCTGAAATCAATAAAAGACATTTTTTCTAAAAAAGCAAGGCAGGCCGGCCATTGCCCCGAGCACCATCGTGAACACGACAGCTCCCTTCCTCCACCACTTCCTGCGAGAAGAGCAGGAAACTGCTTTTAGACGTCTGGCTGCTTTTCAGAATGAAAACAAGACAGCTTTTACCCCCTCTCCCTCCCACACCCAGCGAATGCCCACACACACCCAGCGAATGCAGTGACAGCACAATGGAACGCTGGCTTTTAAACTCTTCAACCGAAGGGGCTGTTGGCTGCCGGAGCCGAGCATTTAACACATGTTCAGCGTATGCGTCACCCTCCTCAGCTACCTTTGTCCCCGACACAACGGGGGAGCCAAGAATCGAGAATTAAACCGAAGCATAAGACAGGCGGCTCGGCTGCACGGGGAACTGGGCGTCGCCTAGTGTCTGGTGGGGGGCGGCATGTTCCCATGGAGTGACCTGGGATTTAGAGGAGGCCGCCTGGCCGTCATGGGGGCAGGGTGGGGGTGGGGAGGAAGGTTCACGGCTCAAGAGAGGAATTTTGATGTGAGTTTAGATACCGAGATCGACGGACATAAAGGCTGCCTCCTTGCCCGCGCGGCGTGGCTCAGGGGCTGAGCGTCGACCTGTGAACCAGGAGGTCTCGGTTCAGTCCCGGTCAGGGCACAGGCCGGGTTGCAGGCTCGGTCCCTGGTGTGGGGCGTGCAGGAGGCAGCTGATGCATGACTCTCTCATCATTGATGTTTCTCTCTCTCTCCCTCTCCCTTCCTCTGGGGGGGAGGGGGGAGGAGGCTGTCTCCCTCCCAGCCTCGTGGCTCTCCAGGCACCCTGGAAAGCAGTGGGTCTTTTCGGCTGGAAATCACTGTACTTCGTTCGCATCGGGCGGGAGGAAGGAGAGCATGTCTGCAGTTTGTGTCCAAGGACTCAGAAGTCTGTGCCAGACCCTCGTGTGTGCCCTCAGCCGCCCCCCCCCCAACTTGCTGCTTCTTTGTATTTATGCTGAAGATAAAATATGCAAAGCAAAGCCTCAGGCTGGAGTGTCGCGAGCGGGAGAAGCCACAGCAACTGGGGGCTTTTGAAAACGACAAACAGCGTGTTTTCCCTGAACAGCCTCGGTGTTTAGGTTTTCAGATGTTGGGGAGCAGCAGACTTCCGGACAGACGGACACACGGCCTTCCTGGGGGACAGCCCTGACTTGGCAGGATCTGAGGGGAAGGGGCTGCCTGGGGAGGGGGCGGGGCTGGAGGAAGTGGGGGAGAGGGAGGCGTTTCCTGGGGCAGCTGTTTCCCCGGGGACACACCCCTGCAACTTATTCCGGCAGCAGGGCCCCCAGCTCCCGGCTGCTGACCAGCTAACCCTGGGAGCAGCCTCCTGCTGCCGGCCCATCGGGGTCCCGGCCGGCCGACATCCCCTGCCTGTGACAGCGGCCAGGCCCAGTGGGATGGAGACGCAATGGGGTGGGGGGGTGGGTGTTCTGGGGCGAACTCAGAGGCTGGCCCAAAAGGCTGGAGGGGAGCAGGTGGGGAGCTCAGTGAGGAGGATACGGGGTGGGGGCAGGAGGGGGTAGAGAGAGAGAGAGATGGAAAGAGAAAGGAAGAAATGATGGGGTGTCAGGTACCACAGGGGTGAATGCCACACCAGATGCCCAGCCCCACGGACAGCGCCGAGTACAATTTCTCTGGGAATGGGGCGACGATGGGCGGGTCCTAAACTTCAGCCTGTGCCCCGCCCCCCGTCCTCCCCACCCCCCCCATGAGGGCCAGGCGGCCTCCCCTAAAGCTGCATGGCTGGGAGCGGGAGGCGGATGCAGGGAGCAGGGAGCAGGGAGCAAAGCCGGCCGCGTTTTCTGAGACCATCCTCGTCACTCAGTCTCCCAGGCGCATAGGGATCTGCAGGGAGAGCCCAGCTGCCCATCTCCCCCTGCGCCCCACCCGTCACCGCTCATCAGCTGGTTCTCTCCGGTTTCCCCTCCCCCTCCTGCTCCCCAGGGAGCCCCCCCTCCATCCAGGACCTGCAAGGCTGCTGCCCCCTCCGCACCTGATGGCTCCCGCTGGTCTAACACCAGGCAGCGCCCTCTCCCTTCTAAAAGGAGGCGCTCCCCTGCCGGCCGCGGCTCAGTGGTTGAGCGTCGACCTATGAGCCCGGTGGTCAGGGTTCGATTGCCGGTCAGGGCACAGGCCCGGGTTGCGGGCTCATCCCCAGTAGGGGGCGTGCAGGAGGCGGCCGATCCATGATCCCCTCTCAGCATTGGTGTTTCTGTCTCCCTCTCCCTTCCTCTCTGACATCAATACAAATGTATAATAATAAAATGAGGCATGCTCCCTGCTCCCTGCCCCCCTCACCCCCAGGGACGGAGAGGGGGTGTGGTCTCGCAGTGACAGCTCCCTGACCCCTCCCAGCCCTGGGAATTGGGGGTGCTCTCACCCCGGACGCATCACCCCTCCCCCACCTTTCCAGACCCTGGTGGGCATCGGAGCGGCGCCTTCTCCTCGCCCCTCCTCCGAGGGGGCCCCCACCCCCACCCCCACCCCCACCGCCACTCTGGGTCCAGACACGCGGGGGAGAGGCACCGAGAGCCCTCCACCCCCGACCTCCACCCGGAGCCGGGCGCCAGGGCGCCTGCATCCCCTGCCCAGGGCGCAGAGCTGGGGTCCTGGGCGTCTTCCACCCGGAGCTGCCCCGGGCTCCTCACCAACGTGTCGCCGGTCCCCCCACTCCCTGGGGCACCGCAGGTCTCCCCATTCCCCCGGCACCTCAGGACGGTCAGCGCACCCCTTCCTGGCAGCAGCGTCGTGTCCCTGAGAAGGGTCGGACCCCGAGCCCCGCGGCGGGTGCGGGAGCCCCGGACGCCCAGGTCCCCACGGCTGTGAGCAAGTCCGGGAGCCAGAGCCCGCGGGGGAGGCGCACGTACCTAGAGAGGGCGACCCCTCCGCATGACAGGGACCCGCTCCGGCGACGGCAGGCGGCTCGGTCCCCCGCACAGCCCGCCCGGCTCGCAGACACGGCGCTCGTCCCGGGCGCGGGGACAGCGGTCCCTCCAGGGCGCCCGGCGCGGGCCGCGCGGTGCAGCTGCGCCCGGGGAAGGTGAGCGGCCGGCGGCGCGGAGCTGCCAGCGCGCGGGGCGGGAGCGCGGGGAGTGGGAGGCGGGAGCGCGGGGAGTGGGAGGCGGGAGCGCGCGGGGCGGGAGCGCGGGGAGTGGGAGGCGGGAGCGCGCGGGGCGGGAGCGCGGGGAGTGGGAGGCGGGAGCGCGCGGGGCGGGAGCGCGGAAAGGGGCGGGCGCGCGGGGGCGGAGCGTGGGGCGCGGGGCGCGCGGGGCGGGAGCCTGAGCGCGGGCAGCGGCGCCCCCGCGCGGGCGAGGCCTGGGGAGGTGAGCGCTGCCTGCGGCTCCGTGGGGCCGCTCCTGGCGCCCCGCTCGCTCCGAGGCTGCTGGGGCGCCTGGAATCTGGGGCGAGGCTGCGCCGGGTGAGTGGCGGCGAGGACCCCAGGGAGCGGAGGGAGACCCGCCCAGGACAGGCCCCCAGTGCAGGCGGCGGGGGCGGGGCCTGTGTGTGTGATTGTGAGTGTGAGTGTGTGTAAATGTGTGTGCGGTGCGCGTGGGGGACAGCCCAGAGCACCCACCTTGCCAAGGCCAGCACCCCGGGCAGGACGGGTGTTGGGAATCTCCTACAGGTCTCCCGGGGAAGGAAGGGGCCGGATGGCAGGAGGCCATGGACATGAGTCGAGGTGCTTCATGGACAACACCCCCTTTCGTATTCCTGTCCCCATTTCACAGATAGGAAAACTGATGCTCTGAGAGGCCAGGGAACTCGCCCCTGATCACCACGGTGAAGCTGTTATTCAGAGTCAGGGGAGATTTAAAAATGCAAGGCCCTTTTGTTGTGAATTCTCACCCGAGGATATGTTTCCATTGATTTTAGAGCGAGTGGAAGAGAGAGGGAAACATCCATTGGTTGCCCCCTGCACGGGCCAGGACCCGGGCCAGGGAGGAGCCTGCGACGGAGGTATGTGCCGTTGACCTGAACCGAACCCTTCAGTCCACAGGCCGTCCCCCTATCCACTGAGCCACACCAGCGAGGGCTCCATGCTCTTCTTACCACAGTATGTTCCACCCTCACCCCGTCTCCCCTGTGGGTGTCCAGTTGAGGCTTGGGGTGAATGTGGGGGGCAGGGTGGTACATACTGAGCCAGAGGCCAGGGGACCGAGGGAGCCGAAGCGGCTGGTGGCTCCCGCCTTCAGGTCTCCTCACTGGCACCCTGGATTTGGGACGGAAGCTCAGAGGGAAGGAGGGGGTACAGTCACCTCGATGCCCCTCGACCTGCCCCCTCAGGGAGGGAGTGGAGCAGGCGGGATACGGGCGGTGAAGGCCCAGAACAGGGCCGCTTCCCTCGTTGGACGGGAGGCTCCTGGCTGTGGGGTCTGCTGGTGACGGGGACCCCATGGTTCTAGCACTGACCCTCCCCAGAGGTCAGGTGCACGCCTGCGGGAGGGGCCAGCCAGCACAGCTCCACACAACCAGCACACACCACAGTCTCTCCCGATCGTCTGATCCAAACCCCAGAGAAGCGAAGTGGCGAACCCAAGGTCACAGAACCAAATGAGGGTCCGCTCCAGCCTGGCTGGCTGGCTCAGGGGTTGAGCGCTGACCTGTGAGCCAGGAGGTCACGGGTTCGATTCCCAGTTGGGCACAGGCCCGGGTTGCAGGCTCCAACCCCAGTGGGGAGCGTGCAGGAGGCAGCTGATCCATGATTCTCTCTCATCATTGATGTTTCTCTCCCTCTCCCTTCCTCTCTGAAACCAATAAATACACATTGGAAAAAAAAAAAAAAGAGTCTGCCCCAGGACTATCTTCGTTCAAATGTCTCCTCTCAATGGCCCTGTGTGTCCACAGAAGCCCCGGCTCCCGGCTCCCGGCTCCCGGCTCCCGGGTGGCTACCTCCTCCCCGGCTCCTCTCGGTTAGATGCCTGCCCTTCCCTCCTGGTCCCTCCTGTTGCCGAAACAGGCGCCTGCTCTTCCCGCCTCACTGATCAGCTCTCAGAGGCTGAGGCTGAGGCCTTGGACCCTCGTCCGTCCGACCCGGCAAATGACGCCGGAAGCTTGCGGGGCGCTGGGGTGGGGACCTTAGAGACCCCGCTGGGGGAGGCTTCACGGGGCTCCGACGCGCGGAGGGGAACGGGCCTCCCACAGGCACAGTGCGCACAGGTGGCGCCTCCCCCGCTGCCCGTGTCAGTGGGGATTGAAAACACGTGAGAGCCATTCAGTCAACAAGCTATTCTTTCAACTCAGGCGGCAGGAGAGCCGAGGCACACCCGCGGAGCCGGAGGCGAGGATGGCGCTGGACAAGAGGTGGGTGTCGTGGCAGAGGCCCGTGGGCGCTGCAGGGACGGTGATGGTTTCTGCGGCATGAACAGTGTTGGGGTGGGGAGCCGATGGGGCCCGCCCGCCGGTCAGTGCTAGTGAACGCCACCCCAATTCGTCCGAAGGGCGGCCGAGGGGCAGAGCTTCCTGTGGGTGTGGGGCCTCGTCCTGGCCGTAGCCAGGCCGTCTCTTTTCACGGCTCTGATGCTTAACTCCCGAGTGCACAGCAGCTCCACGCCCTGATGTGGAAACGCCTCCTCTACCCGGTGACCCTGCTCTGTGCGCCCCCGGCCCCCCAGAGGCGGGGCCGTTCTGAGACGCCAGTCCTGTCCCCGTGGGCGCTTCCGCCGTCCACCTGCTCACATCCCCTCATTCTCCGATTGCCGCGCCGACCAGCATCCTCCTCCCTTCATCCTTTTGGTTTTCTGATTTAGGATGTGGGTGACATCGCCCTGGAAGGAGTTAGACACCCAGCCTGCCCCCCCCGCCCCCCCCAGCACGGCGGTGAGGTTCCACAGAGCTGGGCTCCCGGCAAGGCCAGCCCTGAGCTGTCAGTCCTGTTCACGCCCAGCCTGGCTGCTGCAGGAGCGGAGGTGAGAGTGGGAATCTGACCCTGCCCACCGCTGGCTCAGCCCAGGCCTCAGCCCAGGCCTCTTCAGGAGCAGGCACCTGCCCGCCGCCTCCCCGCGGCCCCTGTCTGCTCACACTCTCCTCATCAGCTAGAGAGGGGCTGTGACCGGACCGGGCGCCATCACCCTCCGGAATCAGCCGCAGGCAGGGCGGCCGCGGGGTCACCACGCTGACAGTGAATACATTACTCCCCCTCCTCCCAAGCGTCATCTCCGGTCACGTCCAAAATAGGCGTTAGGGCCGAGGCCGCGGAGGCGGACGCTTCACAGCCACAGTGGCGAAGGCAAGGGCTTTGGTTTAAGCAAATCTCGAAAGAGAGCAGCCCCTTCCAGATCTTTCCCTGAATCCTGCCGCATTTCCTTAGCGGCAGCAGGAAGAGGCGGAGACAGGCCTGGGCAGATGGCGGTGGCTCTCCCTGACCCTCCAGGGGCTCCTGGAGGAAGATAAGCCGACCACCTCCTGGGAGCCCCCGGGGGGGGGGGGGGAACGGCGTGCGAGTCAGAATGGCGCTGTCCTCAAGGAGGGAGTCACGGTCAACAGCTGTGCCCCTGGTGTCCGCGTTTCAGATCCCAGTTCACAGACAGGCCGACCCTTCTCCGCGCACACTGGCCCCTTGTCAGCAAAGACTCACGTTCAACTCACGCGCCCGGGGGGTATGCAACTGTTGGGCTGTTTCAGGGTTTGCAGAGTGACTGGTGGGTGAATGTGTCCTTTCCATGGTTTTCGGGGACCCGAGAGACTCCCAGGAAGAGCCATCCCCCCCGCCACCCCTGGGATTAGAATGAAGGGAAGTGACTGAAGACGTCGTCGGGGGATTCGACTTAAAATGAGAGCAACGCGCCGGCTGCTACTTCTTGACTGGTGAGTGAACCTGTGACTGAGGGAGGCTGATGCGTCCCCTGGGGAAGGGAAAAGCGGAGGGAGTTTAGCAAAGGGATCGACACCCTGCCTGCCTTCTATGGGGCGGAGACACCAAAGGTTCTTCCGGCTGCGATCCCATGGCTGTACTTCCTGGGAGCAAAAGGGCGAGACCTGCGAGCAGGTTAACTCAGAGGGCACAGCGTCGCGTGCAGGAGGCCGGGTGTGGATGGGGAGCCGTGGACATGCCTCCTCCGGGAAGCCCGCCGGGGTTACCCAGCCCCCCTTCACTGCCCCTTCCGTGTTTGCGAGCAGTTTGCACTGCATTCTTGAACTCCCGGCTCCACGGACAGCCCGTGTAGGTTGTACAGCCCAGTCCCCGTGAGCTGGAGTTAAATCTGTGAATGGTTTTCACTTGGGTATATGCCGCTTTCACGTCACCATTTCACCAGACACTTCCTGAATGCGACTGCTCTGGGCACTTGGCAGGGGACCTCCTGGATCACCCACTATTTATAGCCGCACTGCGAGCTTCACTGTCCCCAGCTGGCCTCCCGAGGCCCCGGCGCCCCACTCCGCCCCACCCCCACGCCTGTCCCTGCAGCAGGCTCCAGTCAGTATCAGGCCTGTGAGTCCCACCACTCCCTCTGGACTATCCCAGCTGACTCCTCACTGGCCTCTCTGCTTTTTATTTTTTATTTTTATTGATTTCAGAGAGGAAGGGAGCGGGAGAGAGAGAAATATCAATGATGAGAATCATTGATCAGCTGCCTCCTGCACGCCCCCCACTGGGGATCGAGCCCGCAACCCGGGCCTGTGCCCTGACGGGAATTGAACTAGTGACCTCTTGGTTCCTGGGTCCTGGCTGGGCAGGACTCCCTCTCTTGCCTCTTATGCCTCCTCTTTATTTCCAAGGCAACAGTCAGAATGTTCTCTTTAAAAGCAAATCAAATCCTGTCACTCTGCTCCACACCCACCCGTGACGGCCACGGAGCAGAACCCAGATCCTTCCAGCCAGAACCTCTGGGCTCTCGGCTCCTCCCTCTCTGCGCGCTCACATCACACCGCAACCACGTAGGTTCCCTGGCCCTTTCTGGAACATTCTCCCCCGTGGCTCAGTGGTTGAGCATCAACTTAGGAACCAGGAGGTCAGGGTTCAATTCCCAGTTAGGGCACCTGCCTGGGTTGCATGCAGGAGGCAGCAGATGAATGATTCGCTCTCATCATTGATGTTTCTATCTCTCCCTCTCCCTTCCTCTCCAAAATCTATCTATCTATCTATCTATC